GGGGGGGGGGGGGCGATGGCGGCGGCGGGCGGGGGGCGATCCCGGGGAACCCACCTGCCCATGTTCTGCCTCCCGCCACCCGATGCTGACGGCAGGCCGCCGCCTCCTCCTCCTCCACTTCCACCGCCGCCGGGGGGTTTGCGGTTGTTGCCGGCGGGCTGCGAGGCGGCCGCCGTCTGCTTGAGGGACATGGCTGAGGGCCGAGGGCCGGGGCCTGCGCTGCGGGAGCGCCGAGCGGGAGCGCTGCTCTGCGTCTCCGTGCCTCTGTCTCTCTCTCCCCTCTCTCGCTCTCGGCCGCGGTTGCTCCCAAACAGTGCGGGGCGGAGGGAGCGGAGCGCGGCGCGGAGGGATCCGCGCGCAGAGAGGAGGGGGGGGAGGAAGGAAGGAGGGGGGAGCGCGGAGCGAAGGAACGGCCGAGCGGGGAAAGCGGGCGGGGCGAGGCGACGGGAGCCGGGCGGGCGGGGAGCGCGAGAGGGGAGCGGGGAGCACGGGGCCCGGCGAGGGGGAAGCGAGGCGAAGCGCGGACTCTTTACGGGAAGTCGGAAGGAGCGCGGCGGTACTGCGGCTAGGTTGAAGGGGCGGAGGCGGGGGAGCGGCGGACACGTGAGGCGGCGGCGGACGGCGCCGGGCCCTGCGCTCTGTGTAGGGCCGCTCCCGCCCCGCTCCGCTCCCAGCGCCGCCCGCGGGAGGGCCCTGCTGAGGGGAGCGGCTCCGCCCGCGCGGTGCGGCCTGGTGGGGGAGGAGGAGGAGGAGGAGGAGGGGGTTGGAGGGGAGCCGTGGCTGAGGTGCGGATCTGGCACGTGCGGGGATTAAAGTGGGGAAATACAGGCGTTGTAATGAAGAAATCGGGAAAACGTGAATCTGAAATGCAGAAATCAGAGCGGAGCAGGCACCCGGCTCTGGCGTCACGCTGGTACGCGCTCTGCTTTCGGAGGTGCTTTTAGCGCCGAGCACCGATATGATACATCGCTGTTAAAAGCCCGTGTGCGCGCTGGGTTAGTAAGAGCGGCTGTAACCTGAAAAACCGAGAGCGAAATTGATTTATAGCCGTGGTTACTCAAAGTGCTCGGACTTTAATCTATTCGTAGAGATGCTCTGGAAGTCCCGCAGGATTCGGATGCAGTGAGAAGGAGCGATCTTGCTGGGCGGGCAGCGTTCGTACACCTTGCTTGCACAGCAACAGTTCTCCCATGCGGCTAAAAGCCGTGGGTGGCAGCACGGTGGTAAAAAGATAACAATATTCAACAGCTTTCTTCAATTAGCATCATCCCTGCGCTTTTGACTATTAAACTCCTTGTTTTGTTTCACCTTCCAGGCCCGGATAACCCTGTGGTTAACACCTTACGAGCAAAATGACAGATGCCAGCACAAAGCATTACTCCATTGAAAATATCTGTCCAAAACTGCGCCGGCAGCTTTAGGGAAGTTTAGTGAATGTGCAAAACGATTTGCTATTGCCCAGCCACAGAACTGGGAGAGAACATTGAGGAGTTCTGCAGGAAACAGCAGTGTGTGCAGAGGTGAGGACAGCCAGTAGCACTTCTAGAACTACTTACTGCAAAGGCAGCCGTCTGTTTCACTGTACATAACAGGATCACTACACTACCTTAAAAAAGTGAAGAAACAACTTTTAGGAAGAAGAATACATGATGTATATGTTATATTGAATTATAACAGTAAATTATATGCAGGTATGAAATCCAGTAGCACACAAAACTGCATTTCAGCAAACATCTGTGTTGTTAGGTTTATCCCAATGGAGCTCAAACAGATGGCCTCAAATTGCCACCACAGCAGCAGAGGTGCAGCAGGTGGGGAAGGTGAAGGTCCCAAACACGTCTTGAAATGAATCCAAGTGAGCTACAGGTAGAGAGGGCTCTGTATTCTGCAGTGTGTTTCATCTGTTTTTTTCAGTTGATAAAACAGATTTCCCAGAATGCACAAGGCAGTCTGATAGTAGGCTCAAACAAATCCACGTCCCTTGAGGTTGTTTTGGTTTTGTTTGTTTGTTTTTTAATGGAAAGGAAGTAATTGTAATGCTTTTTCAGCTAAGCACATTACAGTGTGCAACAATCAGTCCCTGTGTTTGATGAAGGTTAAGAACCATTACAGAGCTATGCAGCCATGCTGCAGGGTCCTGCAGGCAGATGAAGTCCCTGGTGTCCATGGATGTGATTGGTACAAGCAAGTTCCATGGCCAGAGACGGTTTCTAAGACAAGATATGAACACACTAACTTAGATTTTGGGGTAACATTATGTCCTTTGAGAGTGACTGCATGAATAAGACTCTCGTGTTGGTATCTGCAGCAATGACTCAAGCACAGTTGCTGTTTGACTTGTTCTCTCCTTCAATGTATTCTTTGTTTTGCTAAGCTCTGGCTTCCATTGTGCCCTCCCATTTTTGCTTGTCGAGCATCTTCACTCAGAAGCAAGCACAGCAGTGACCAGGTTGAAGGGACTCCATTTCACCCACCGAGAGCTGAGTCAGGTGCTGGATCCCTCAGAGGCTCATGGTGCCATGCCAGTGCTGGTGCCACTGCAGCTTCCTGCTGTGAGCTGCCCCACCTGCAGAGCACCGGGATCACACTGCTGTCATTGCACACAGCGTCCTTCCCCTTGGTGTTGGCTTTTCCCTGCACACAGCCTTTTGATAGCCAGCAATTCCCACTACTCCATTTTTATTATTTTATGATTTGTTTCTATTGATTTTTTCCCTTTTTTTTTTTTTTGTTCTGATGCAGTGCTTTAGCTGTAAAAAAAAAAAAAAATCAACGTTCAGAATTACATGCTCCACAGCCAAGAAACAAAAGCAACTCTTTCTAATAGAGAATCACATCCTATGTCACCCGTCCCGTTCCCATTCCAGGTTAGAGCTGGTCTTCTTCAAGACCGCTATTTTCATTCAGTTTTGTGCCTGCATGTGCAAGCTGTGTTTGCACATGAAGATTAACGAGCCCGATAACATCACTGCTTCCCCGGAAGTGCTGCATGATGCAATGTTTCCTTGACAGAACTGCTCCAAGGCACCGCGTGCTTCCCGAGGTTCAGTGCGGTGAAACATGTGTGCCTACGGAGGGACGGCCAGCACGAGTGCTTGACATTTATGTTATGCAAAATCAGCCGTTAGAACAGCACAGTCCTGAGTATTTCTACACGTTTTCTTTTCCCTGAAGACTTCTTTTATTTATCCATTACCACAAAACCTGTTCTTAGAGGCAAAAGCTTTGCCAACAATACTTATAGGCATGGGAATCTCCAGGCGCTTGAAAAACAAATCAGGTACTCCAACAAATGAGGAGTGCTTCCCAGAGAGATACGGTATCAGCTAGTCAGCAAAGCTGCAATCAGTTGTAATTGATGAATGCACCACTGGCCAGGCCAGAATTAGGTACACGCACATCCGTGAGCAAAGCCTGAGCTCCAAGCATGCAGGAGAGGCAGCCTCTGCTGCTTCTGCTGTGCATTGGCTTTGTGTCGCCTGCAGTCCCTCAAAATCACAGCTTGGCTGCAAGGAGATACCAGCTTCCAGCAAACGTATTTTTTGATCCACACTTTGCACTTTGATAATGACTTGTTCCCAATTTCTGTCACCCACCAACACCTTCCTCCAGCTCCCTTCAGGCTACAGAGGACAGACACGCTGCTGAGCCATGCGTGCAACTGCTTCCCCACAACTCATGGGAGGTGAAGGAAAGCACGAACAGCCACAGTGTTCGGGTCTGATGTGCACAAGTGCCACAACTTGTTTCATCCATAACCAATATAGAATCATAAAACCAGTATGACTGGAAAAGATCTCTAGGATCACCAAGTGCAACCCCAGCCTTCTCCATTGAACCATGTCATCAGTGCTACATTTCCACATTTCTTGAACACCTCCAAGGTCAGTGACTCCATCACTTCCCTGGGCAGCCGGACCCAAGGCTTGACCACTTTCAGAGAAGAAATGTTGCCTATTACCCATCCTAACCCTTCCTTGAGGGTTGAGCTTGAGGCCATGACCTTTTGTCCTCATGCTGTTACCTGGGAGAAGAGAATGACCCTACAGTCCTTTCAGGAGCTGTAGAGAGCATTGATGTCACCCCTGAGCTTCCTCTTCTCTGGACTGAACCATCCCAGTTCCCACAGCTGCTCCCCATAAGACCTGTGTTCCAGTCCCTTCACAGCTTCATTGCCCTTCTTTGGACAGGGCATTTTAATGAATCCTGCTCTCAGCTTCCATTGGCCACAATCACCATTTAAGGGATCTCCCTGCCCAGAGGCAGGATCTGTGCAATCACTGCAGCCCCACAGCACTGTTTTGGGACGGAGCTTCAGACTGGGAGACCCCAGCTGTGGCCCAGCACTGTGGGCAGACTGCCTAGCAGCCCCCAGCCCTGGGCTTCATGCCTCTATGAGTAGATTTAGCATTTTCACAAAGGGAAGTGGAGAATCAAGTCTAACTCCTGCTCAGCAGCAGCAGACAAAGCAATCGTTATGCCAAGACTTAGCTCTTAAATCCCTCCAGATCTGGTGTTCATGGAGCATAAACAACCTTTGCCTCACAGCTTCACCGAGCTGTGCCTCCCCACTTCCTAAGCACTGCAGTGCAGACCCTTCAATACCCATCCTCTCCCCATCCTTTTGCTGAGACAGGCGTGCCAACAAGAAAGCCAGTTGCCATGGCATTTTTTCCCCCTGCAGACAGATGTCCATTAAAAACCAAGTCAGCCTCAGGTTTGCTGCACAGAACGGCTTTCTGTTATTATTAGCAGCCTGCAAGGAATTCCACTGTGCCCCTTCACCTCAGATGTTTCAATGCACTTCGGAATTAATCCCTGGTGATTAGGAGGAAACCACTACAGAGCAGGTACAGGTACGCTTAAAGGACAAATTTAGGATTATGATCTTGTTTTGCATTTTTGGCAGATGATTTGCACACGACTGTACCTGGAAAGAGCTCAGTTTGTTACCTCTGGCATTCCCTCCTGATCTCTCAGCCTCCCCACTAAAACCATCAGACACATTGGAGGCTTGGATGTTTTCCTCTCCACTGACACACTTCACCCGAGGCTCGCAGTAATTTTGTCTTCAGGATGAGCCCTGCAGCTGCAGCCCCAGCTGGAAGCAAAGTCAGAAGCTCCACACGTGGACTCAGCGCTCCCACCCCTCTGCATGGGCACCCCTGACCCCAGGACTGTGTTTCCAGCAGGAATCTGCATGTCGGGCAGTGATGTCTCCTTCCTTGGTTCCAAGGCCACGTTTTTGTTTAAGGTTGGAAAATGGCTCTGTGGATTCCATGCCCTCCCCCAGCCCACCCAAGTGTTGTGTCCTGCCAAAACATCACATCACAGCACCTCTGCAGGGGGCTTCTCAGGTGTTCTTATTGGGATGGT